GACGATTCCTTTTAAGCCAGCTTCTGTGCCTCTCGGAGCGAACCGGGTGGACCTGGACCACCAGATGTGTAGAAGCTCCCGCTCCCAGAACCCATCGCCACTCTATAATGCACACGACCCCATCGCCACTCTATAATGCACACGACCCCATCGCCACTCTATAATGCACACGACCCCATCGCCACTCTATAATGCACACGACGCACCACACAAATACACATATCACGAATATATAAGAAACACAAACCATACTACATGTACCACCGTAGCTGCACGGAAACCACCAACCATCGATCTCCTTTCTCACTCTTCCCAGCTTTTCTATACATCTAACCCAAGATCTCGTCATTTCTCATTCGTTTTCTTCCCGAAATGATAAGGATTCCCAACTTCAAGGGAAAGGAATTTTTCCATATCAAATCATGCAGCAAGACATGAAACGGCAGCAGCTTCCTTTCATGTTGGTAAAGCGAGCCTCCGATCCATCTCGGGACTTCTGTCGCTTCTCTGCCGACCACCCTCGTCACTCTCCCCCCTCAAGAGCCTGATGCCATCATCGTCAACTATCCTGCTTGTCATGGCTGCTGGAGATTAAAAAAAGAAAAAAAAAAAAAAAAAAAAAAAAAAAACCACCAAAACTATACTATAAACATGAAAAAATAAAAAATAACACACATGCTGTTATGAGTTATGACAAACACCAAAGCTTTAATCCGTCAAAAATGGAGAATAGTTGACGCAAAGAAAGTAAAAGACTCCAACGACAAATCAAAAGAGAATCCAAAGCTACATGACCTTAAATTCAACTCTAAAAATATGCATAACATATATACCAAAGAATTAGGTTCTGGTGCGGTTGTGTGATCAAATCACTAGTGGAAATTGTGGAATTTTCGACCACCTGAAAGTGATCTTAAATCAAGTTGATACCAAAAAGTGGTCGAAAATAGCAACAAAGGTTTTTCCGGATACCAAAAGTGGTCGGAACAAGGCTTTTGACTTGATTTAAGATCACTTTCAGGTGGTCGGAAATTTCATAATTTTCAGTAGTGAATCTGAGCAATTGATCTTGTTTAAGTTAACGTTCATGATTATCAAAATAAATTAAAACAAAAAAAAATACAGTGGCAATTTGATAATTTTTGCATCTAGTCAAATTTAAGGTGCGTCGTTTTTGTGCTTAAGGTGCGTGAGTTTCGTGCTTAAAATGCGTGGGTTTTGTGCTTAAGGTGCGTGAGTTTCGTGCTTAAGGTGCGTGGGTTTTGTACTCAATATGAGTAGTTGTTGAAACTTAAGGTTACGTGGGTTTCCTTATTAAAGTGCGTTATTTTCCTTGTACGTGATTTGTATGCTTAAGGTGTGTCAGTTGTGTGAAACTTAAGATGAATCATTTTAACCTTAGGTGCGTGGTTTATGTTCTTAAGGTGCTCTGTTGTGTGCTTAAGATGCGTGACTGCGTGATTTGTGTTCTTAAGGTGTTTTGTTTGTGTGCTTAAAGTGCGTGATTTGTGTACTTAAGGTGCGCCATTTTAATGTTTAAGGTGCGTCTTTGGCACAACCGCACGGAAACCCTTCCCCTCACCTAAACCCTTCCCACATACCCAAAATATAATATCTACAATTAAAAATTTATTTAGAATACCAAAAATACCCTTATTACATAAAAGAGAGATCGAACATGGAAAGGAAAAGAAAAAAATACAATCATCAGATCAAGAAAAATAAATGACTCAAATTAATCCTCACATTCTCGGAAAGGGTGTTCTGATATGAAAATAAATAAATAAATAAATTAATTAATTAATTAATTAATAAATACATATATAACAGTTTCTATGAATACTATGGCACCATTTTCATAGAGGGAAAGTGATTACTATACAAGGAGAGAATATGAAATATCAACTCAACTTTCATTGCGATTGAATGTATTCTCTTTATAGTACGTACATTGTTAAGTGTTAACTTTGTAGTTTACAAATGTATATTTGTACCTAAGAAAAATAAAAATAATGAGGTGGTGTGATATAAAGTGAGACTAATAGTTCAATGATTTAGGCAAAAAATTCAAATTGATTTTGATCAAATATACACTCTCACAATATATAATATTAAGTTTTGTTACTCTCCAGTATTGGTCATACTCAACCTTACAATTCCAAATTCAACCAAACAATGAAATTAATAATATTCACATAATTTTCTCTCGCCAATCAAACGATAGAATCAAATGTCTCAATAATTTTTTTTTAATGAAATTTAAATTTCATTAATCCTATAAATACTTTTTGTGAACCAAATCGGTTCTAATTTCTACAACTACGCAGGTAAACTTAAATTTATTCTATGTATAATTATTTCAGATTAGCTTCTAGAAAGAGGTGAGCTGTACGTCGTGAAATTGGTCAGTGGCCCCCTGATCCCATTGCAATTATATTATCAAACCGAAAATCATTTGTAATACTCATTAATAATATTTTAAGAGAAGTTGGTCAGATGTTTTAGTCAAACCCTACAGTAAATAAATTGTGACGCTAATTAAAGACAACAATGAGATTTCCTTGTATGTCGTATCTAGTCGAAAGTTCATCAGGTGACCTCCATGGATTTCACTCTGCCAGCCATTGTAGCAACTTTGGCTACCACTTTTCTACTGCTCATCACTTTTATCTACAATCTCGTATTTCACAAAGGGTCGACCCAAAAACCACCCGAAGCCGGCGGCACATGGCCCATAATTGGCCATCTCCACCTCCTTGCTGCCCCTCGAGCCACCTTCAAAATCTTGGCCGACATGGCTGACAAATATGGGCCTATATTCCGAATAAGGCTCGGCACGAAACAAGTTTTGGTGGTGAGCGACTCACGAATCGCCAAAGAGTGCTTTACAACTAACGACAGAGCACTCGCAGGCCGGCCCAAGGCCTTAACTTCGGAGATCATAGGATACAACTACGCCATGTTTGGGATGTGTCCGTACGGTGAGTACTGGCGCCATGTCCGCAAGGTTGTGGTGCTCCAGCTGCTGTCCAACCGCCGTCGGGAGGCGCTCATGCGGGTTTGGGAATCGGGAGTAAGATCATTTGCCCAAGACATCTACCGAAGCTGGCTAAGGGACAAGAATGAATCCGAGGATGTAAAGCTGGACATGAAGGAGTTGTTTGGGGAAGTAGTGATGGACGTCACGATGCAGACGCTTTTCGGGCAGCAGTACGAGGAAGAAGGGAGCCGGACAGTAGTGAGGACGGCCAGTCGATTATTTAATCTACTGGGGGTCCCTGTTGTGGGTGATTATCTGCCATGGCTAAGATGGTTGGACATAGGAGGACATGAGAAGACCTTGAAGGAGACAGCGAAAAGGATGGACAGTATAGCAGAAGGTTGGCTACAAGAACATAAAAGGAAAAGAAATACGAAATCTAAAGAAGAAGAAGACTTCATGGATGGATTGATAAACAGTTTTCATGGTGATGGGGATCACAAAGATATTCCTAATGATTTTGATGCTGACACAATTGTGAAATCTACTTGCATGGTATGTGACTCTTTTGCTGTATAGTTCTCGGTAGGGGTGTAAATCAGCCCAACAGCTCGCAAGCCGCTCGGTCAAAGCTTCGAGTTCGAGCTCAAATGTTTTAGGCTCCTAATTTGTTTAGCCCCTCATGAGCGATATATACATATACATATATATATATATATATATATATATATATATATATATATATATATATATAGTCGAGTGGCTCTGAGCGATTTAGTCAAAGTTTGACTAGAGCTCGGTCAACTTCAAGCCTACTTATTATTTATAGAGCTCTAGCTCGAGCCTACCTATTATTTATAGAGCTCGACTCAACTCGTTTACACCCCTAATTCTCCGTAGAAATAAATGAAGAATAGTTTGTCATCAATAATTATATAAAATTTAGTCGATGGTCATTATTATTAATTTTTTAACACCCACCTAGCTAGATCCAAATTAAATGTTCTCTCTATATTTGCTTAGAATCTGCTATAGGGACCAAAACTTTTCACCATATGATATTATATAATTCATATTTGATTAATAAATAGATTATTTTTTTTAATATAGATGAGATTGACCAATTATAATAATCAATGAATAAAATGAGATTTCTTGCTACATCAGTTAGTAAAAAAAATTGGTGAAATTTTTTTGTAACTATAATGTTTATATGAAATATTCTATAATATTGTATTGTTGAAATCTAAATCATATCATGATAGATGATATATAATTATTTGCTCTTTATGGCAGGGTATGCTATTCGCTGGTACAGACACGACTACTATAACATTAACATGGGCACTCTCTTTAATATTAAATCATTCTAGTGTGCTAGAGAAGATTCGAGCAGAACTAGACATCCATGTTGGAAGGAAAAGACATGTGAACCATCTTGACCTAAACAACTTGATTTATCTTCAAGCTGTGGTGAAAGAAACTTTACGTTTATATACTCCTGGTCCGCTCTTACTGCCCCATGAATGTATTGATGATTGCGTGGTTAATGGTTACAACATTCAAAAGGGTACACGCCTATTAGTGAATGTATCTATGATTCATCGAGATCCAGATATTTGGTCAGATCCAAATGTGTTTAGGCCAGAAAGATTCTTGAATGAATACAAGGACATTGATGTTAGGGGCAATCATTTTGAACTAATTCCATTCGGGAGTGGAAGGAGAGTGTGCCCTGCGATTTCTTTAGCCCTACAAGTTATGGAGTTGGTATTGGCGTGTCTTATTCATGACTTTGATTTAAAGAGAATTTCAAATGAGCCTATTGACATGATAGAGATGGTTGGGATGACCAACAGAAAGGCAACTCCCCTCCATGTTTTTCTTACCCCACGCCTGCCTTCTCATCTCTACAATTAATTATGGAACTGTATATATAGTAGGCACTATCCTTTATGTAAGCATTACTATATGATGATATGATCAAATAAACATAATATATATGTATGTAATAGTTTCTGCACCGTACTAAGCTTTAATTTATTCTACAACTATTTCAGATAAGCTTCCTCCTAATATATTATTTCTATGACATTCATGGAGTTCAGAACAGTCATGCATTATCTCTGCAGGTTCTGTAGAGCCTTCACAATGGTTATCCTCATCAGCTCCATGCTCACAGTGATGTTCCTCTTCCATTATCCTAGTGTCTGTTTGTGAATGTTCATCATCATGTTTGTGTAATGTTGAATTATCTGAACAATCAGAATGTACATGGAATGCTGCATTATTAGCATGTAACTGATGACAACCATGGTCTTTTGCACATGAAATCTTGGAAGAACATGATGATGGAGCACACGACTTCTTGCCAAATCTCGAACCACATTTCTTCGCTGAACATCTCCGAGACGACTTGCAGGTCTTTCTTGACTCAGATTTGGAGCAGCAAGAAGGCCGGTGAGATGACGATTTAGTAGTAGTAGTAGTAGTTTCCCTGCTGCATTTATGTTTCTTGGTAGCAGAAGAAGATTTGCAGCACTTCTTTCGACGTTTAGGCGCCTCTCGATCTCCTCCTCGTAGAAGAAGCGTGCTATTAAAGATCACTACCAAGCAGGTTCCAACATCAACCAGCACTGCAGCCCAAACCAGTGGGTGACCAGCTATGGCCAGTGCCATTATAGCAGCCTTAGTGCAGATTGCCACCACAATGTTCACAATCACTTTTCTCCAAACTCTTCTGCCAAGTTCTATGGCTTTCCCTATCCTGCCAATATCATTTGTCATGAGTATAACATGACCTGTTTCCTGGGCAAGATTTGACCCCGATATTCCCATCGAGATCCCAACATCAGCAGTGGCTAAAGCAGGGGCATCGTTCAATCCATCGCCTATCATCCCCGTTCGACCTCCCTTCTGAAACTTCTTTATGATTTGTGCCTTCTCCTCAGGAAGTAGTTCGGCGTGAAACTCGTCTAAGGCACCACCTAGCTGCAGATTATATCCTTACTAGAATCACCACAAGTACAAATAATTGAAGCATTGATAATATAAGTATACATAGGTACCTGTTCTTGAACATGCCTGGCAGCTGCATAGCTATCTCCTGTAAGCATTACAGTTTTGATGCCCATCACCTTCAGCTTTCGAATTGCTTCTTGTGCCCCAGTTCTGCATGCATCAGACAGGCTGAAAACTCCAGCCAAAGATGATCCCACAAATATGTAGCTCATGGACTTTCCTTCTCTTCCATCAACATCAAATTCTGGAACTAAATTCGTAGATTGTTCATTAGGATGAATCATGCATGGCAACATATTTTTTGATGACAAGGGAAACTCATAGCCACTATCCGAGGGTCTGCACTGCATAAACCCCGTTATGTGACCCTAGCCAGCAAAAGAGTAAACCAGCCTATTGCTGACCGACTCAAACCATGAAGGCCAATAGGCCACTTTCACTCAGAGTACAGTCGAACTTGATTGTAACGTTGTGGTTACTAAATCAACAGTCTAACTAGAAATCAGTAATAACTAATAAATTGATGCGTTACCTGAGGTGCATCCTGCTCTGGCAGATATTTTCTTGTTTCCTATATAGATTTCCATCCCATCAATTTCACCATAAATTCCTTCACCAGGAAAGTTTTGAAAGTGTTCCACTTTCTCAGGATTTGGCTCCACTGAATGTGACTGTGCATAGTCGATTATGGCAGGAGCCATTGGGTGACTTGACTTGCTCTCTATGCTTGAAACCCTGAATGTGAATCACTAGACTTTATTATCATCTATATGTATCAGTAGTACTATACAGTATAGTAAGCTATAAGCTCTTAAATAAGTTCTGCCAAACAGAATCATAACCACAATCTTCAACAATATATTGGCCTTGGAGCTGAGATGGATGTAATCTTTATACCAGGAAAGCAGTGTATTGTGGTTGATACCATCCAGGAGTGAGCTGAAGTGTGCCACTGTAAATTCCCCCCTTGTTATTGTCCCTGTCTTGTCGAAAGCTATGACCTTTACTTTGGCAAGAATCTCAAGGTACTCTGCACCTTTAAACAGCAGACCTAAAGCTGCGGCTCGCGAAAGTGCACAGAACATTGCAACAGGCGTGGACAACACAAGCGCACAGGGGCATGCACTCACCAACACAACCAAAGCCAAGTGGTACCTTTCGCTTCGGTTCTCAACTTTCACTGCACTTATTGCCAAACAGGCTGAAATAGCCACAATGGCTGCAACACATATATACCAAATATTTCATTGCATGCAGAGAATTGAATGTGTAGGGTGTCAAGTAGTAATTAACCAGAAAGTTAATTGAGAGAAGAGAAGATGTTGTTACCTGGTGTGTAATACTTAGCAATCTTGTCTATTGATCTTTGGGCTCTGGACTTGTTGCTCTGAGCTTCTTCTACCAGCTTTGCCATTCTAGCCACCGCGCAATCTTCAGCCACTGCAGTAGTCTTGATGCTAATGTAGCCTGAACGATATAAAAAGGACCAGATTTGGTCATGCCACAGCAATACTATGACCAAACGAAGATATTCTGAAAAAGGACTAAAAGTGAACTGTCGTCTATAAATCACATGAAGTTGATGTGCTATAAGTACCATTAAGGTTAATTGTGGCAGCCCAAACAGTTGAATCCTTTTGCTTTGGCACAGAAAATGATTCCCCAGTCAAAGTCTTCTCATCTACCTCACATTCCCCTTCCACAACAATTCCATCAATTGGTATTACCTCCCCAGCCTTAACAGCAAGAATGGTGTCCACTTTGACTTGATTAGCATCAAGTATTTCACCAGTTTCAGCTAACACAGCTCTTTGTGAGACAACATTTACCAGTGATGACATAGCAGCCATGGCCTAAACAGTGAAGTAGTTAATGTCCTTTAATTTTTCCAGAAAAAGTAAAAAAATTTATAGAGGGAATAATATAATGCTGTTGGCCTGTTTGCAAACCTTGTGACTTGCCCTTGACTCCAACCATTCACCTGTGGTGAAAAGGAAGACGATTGTAGCAGCTTCCCAGTAATCATGTAGAACAATTGAACCTACAACTGGACACAGAGAAAAACATAAAAATTAATTATAAAAAAGCTTAAGTTTGGTACAAAATTTAATAACACATAACACACAGAAATTCATAATATAAGACACAATTACTAATTTGTTTCAGGTACAAAATTCATACTCTTAAAGGACAGAGTTTCATAACACAAAGTATTAAGGCCCTATTTGGTAAAATGGCTGTTAGCTGATAACTGTTTTCTGTTAGCTGATTGTGTTAATTAGAGAGTATAAATAGTTGATAACATTAGCTGATTGTAGAAAAGTGTTTGGTAAATAAGCTGTTTGCTGATAGCTGTTTGATATAATTTCTTTTCTCAAAAAGCTAATTGAAAAAGTTGCTAGGAGTAGCTTTTTTAATTTTAGTCTTTTGAAGTTGCAAAAAGCTAATTAACCAAACATTTATATTGATATTTTAACTAAATCAAACAATTAATAGTGATCAAATAAGCTAAAATTGACCTATAAGCCAATTTTTTACCAAACAGGGCCTAAAACTCCAGTAAGAGATGCATGCATCCTGGGGTATGATATATGATTGAGATAGCTAGATAGCTAGCTATAGAGCTCCATCAATAATATATTATTACCTGAAATTATCATAAGAATATTGATGTCAAGTGTGAGATTACGCAGCGCCGCCACGGCCCTTCTAAGAACGGGAAAGCTGCCGGCGACGGCGGCGGCAACAGCTAACCATTTCAAGGGTGCATACACATATTTAAGAAAGGAGAGCAGTAGCAGGATTCCACAAACCACCGCATAAGGACTTGGCAACATTTTTGGGCCATCATTTGTTTCTCCATTCACTTTTATGCTTGCCTCCAAACTTGCTTTATTTAGTGCCCTCACTGCTCATAATTAACCACAAGCTAATTAAGGATTATTAATATATTATATTATTCATTAATCAATGTACCATACTCAACACCAATTTGAATTGCAAACCTGAACAAAAAAAAAAAAAAAAAAAAAAAAAAAAAAAAAAAAAAATCAACCTAAATTCAACCCCCAATGTTCATGGTAGCTTTTGGCCTGTTTGGTAACATAGTTAGCTTATTCACCAATTTTGGCTTATTTAATCACTATTAGTTGTTTAACTTGGTTAAACATTCAATATAAGTGTTGATTAATTTGCTTTTATAACCTCTTATTGCTTCAAAATACTAAAATTCAAAAAACTGCTAAAAGCAACTTTTTCGATCAGCTTTTTGAGAAAATCATTTTGTATGCATCATAGTTGCAGTAGGCGCTAGTCGGGCGTCCGGGCTAGGCGGGCACCAAAAAAACAATGGCAGACTTGTAGTTTGACAATTTTAATGAGGCTGTTTTCAACATTCAATCAAATAACACATCCAAATAAATGAAATAATGATAATTCATAAGTCATAACATCAAAACAATATTAAAAATTAAAAATACTCAAATATGAAATACTCAAATACTTCAATCATCCAAAAGATTCAAAGTATCAAACTAGTCTACGGGTATATATATATATATATATATATATATATATGAAAAAAATAAGCAAGGCCGAGCTGATCGGGTTAACTTCACCGAAATGGACGAGTTAACTCAGCTAAGTTAGATGCTAGGCGGCCAAGTCGGCCGAGTTAAGCGCTAAGCGGACGCCTAGGGGAGAAATCGCCAGGGTCTAGCGCCTAGGGGGGCGCATAGACCGATTTTTGCAACAGTGGTATGCATGTAATCCGCTAACAACTAATTTACCAAACGTATTTCTACAATCAGCTAATGCTATCAACTACTCAAACTTACTAATCCAATCAATTAACAACTAACAGCTATTTACCAAACACTCGTCTGTATGCGTACATGCAAGCCTCTCTTGGACTAACTTAATTGTGTGTACTATGTATGGATATAAAAAATGGAAGATGACATGTATAATAAGGCAATAATATTTCTGAAATTTGAAAAAAAAAAAAAAAAAAAAAAAAAAAAAAAAAAAAAAGATAAGTGGAGAATTGAAAGGGATAAAAATATTTGCTTGGCATCATGCAACGTAACTTCAATCCAACGACGTCATATATGCATGCATGCATATACGGCATCTTACATTTGGGCACTCGACGCCACGAAACTGTTTCTCCGACATCATGCATTTGTTCTCTCCATAGTCCATACGTTCGTGATTTCATACCAAACGTGACGATCCTTCTACGTTAGTTATCCTTATTGTGGTCCATGCATCAATGACAAATACATATCCATTTCAAATAATACTCTATAATACATACCCGATGATTATGAAATTGAATAAGTCTTATGTGAGATCATTTTATCAAATGTGTACTATTTTTTGGTTAAAATATAATATTTTTCATGTGAGATGGTCACTTAAATAAATAATCAATATATTAATTAAAGAGAAATTCAGTAATTTAAAATAGTTGGTAAACGAAGAACGATATATTGCTAATTCAGTAACTTAATCAATATATTAATTAAAGAGATATTCAGTAACTACTAATATAATTGCAAAGTGGATTGTATATATTGCTATATTTAGCTTTCGACTTAAAAATTGATAGCTAAATAGGGGGATGTCAATCTTAGTTCGAAATTGATGAGCTGGCCCAATAAAATTGAAAAATTTTAGAATTAGAACCAAAATATTTGTAGTTAATAAATTAAAAAATGGCCTAATAGTCCAAAACTGATAAGCTCGGTGGCTCACTAACACGAAATTTAATGGGTTAGCCCAATATCTTGAACCACTTATAACTATTCTTTGTAACAAAAATGATGCCAAATAAAATATACATGCCCGAAATTTAGTGCCTGCTTTTGCCATAAACACGGGAAATAAATTACCGGAATACAAAAGTTTTCTTGCAGCTTCCCAGCTTGGAAACATATGTACAGAACTAAAAATAATTTATCACCAAAAAAGTGATTAACATTTTCTAAAATCACAAATTTTTAAGGTATTGAATTTTTTCCGATCATATTTAATTAATAGATGGTCGGAACTTCTTATCACCGTCAATAGTGATTGGAAAATATTTTTTTCTTTTTATAAAAATTAAATTTCAATTTACGTACTTTTCTAGATTGTCAAAAAAGTAAAAGGAAATTAACCGATTTCTAACTTGTAATTTAGTGATTAGTACTAAATTAATTGACAAACTTGATTGTAATTGTTTCTTTTGAAAATTACCTTTTGAAGTTTACTAAAGTTAGTTCTTGAAAATTAATTAATCATACAAATAAGAGAAAATTACATTTTTCGTTCCTAAGTTATATGATAATTATAGAATTGTCCTTTAAGTGATAGTTGTGTGATTACTTTTCGACCTTAATTAAGCTATCATTGCTGTTGTAGTTTTCGTCTCTAAGCTATACTAAAGTTGCAAATTTTGTCCATAATATTTTGTTAGTAAATAAACGAAAAATGAACATGATCAATAAGAATGAATATAATTCTACAATTATCATATAACTTAGGAACAAAATGTATTAATATACCTATCTGGTGCTGGGTAATGAGAAGAGGATCATGAACGACGACGACAGTTTTTGTGGTAACCATGACGGAAACCTCATGAACTCCGTCAAGACCCTTCAAAATCTTGTCTATCAAAGGAACCTCAGAAGGACAGCAAATCCCAATCACATCAAAGTAGCTTTTCTCTGCTCCATTATTATTAATGTTTTTCTCTCTCATTTTTTTTTTTTTTCTTGATTGTCTACTGCTTAGCTTCTCTCTACGCAATGATATATATGAGAGACATATATAAGATATTGGGATTTATATATAAATAAATTATTAAAGACTAAAGAGGGTTGGGTGTGGAGTGTGAGAGTGTTTTTGGAAGTTGGATGGAGAGGAGATATGGAAATATGGCATTACTTTTGGAGGAAAGCTAGCTAGCTAATAGCTATATATATTCTTTAATTTCCACTTTATATCATTATATGTTTGGTTTAATTTATTATTTGTAATAATTATCATAATAAATAGAACTAGAACCCATTCTTGTATGAATCAGATAATGGCCGGGGCAGGTTTCTATCTAGCTCTTAATCAACACAAACATTTTTAGTGTTTGTGTATAAGAATTCTTAGGGTGTGTTTGGTTGGTGGGTTTTGCCAATAGGAATGAGTATGAAAGTGATTGGTGTTGTTTGGTTGATAAGTTTTTAGAACACCACTTTGGGTTTCGAATACCCCATCAATTGAAAAACCCATACCCAAATAGAATAAGGCCGGGTTTAATTCCCTTATTCATTTTCAAGCACTACTATTAGTAACCATTCTCATTCCACCATACTACCAAACATGTTAAATACTTTCACCAAAACCCATTACCATTACCAAGTATTTGATACCCATTCCGATTCCGATTCTTATGTGTCAACCAAACACACCCTTAATGTATCACGACTAAGAAAATTTGCGATAAGATAAAATTAGATTTAAGAAAAAAAATTAAAAAAAAAAAAAAAAAAGTAACGGAAAGGATACGCATGCGTACGTTAAAGTATGACAAGGAAATCATTAAAATAGTTGTTATATATTTAAAAGAAAAAAAAAACAAAAAACAAAAAACAAAAACAAAGAAGAAGCTAATAAAGTAAGTAACTAATACATTAAAATGGGCTGCTCTCTGTTGATAGTAATGGGCTAAGCAGGGGAAAAACAATTTGGATGTTTCTACAGTATGTTATTCTCCTAATTTTATAGACGCTATTGTCAGACAATTGTTATATCGTGCAAGGTGGATACCGTTTGATAATTTTGGAGTAACAATGTCATTAGTGGTGTCGTTTTTCTCTACCAATCAAATTTTTTTTTTTTATTTCTCAAAACGTACAACTCAGCGAGACGTTGTGAATATAGAGTTCAAGAATTAAAAATATAGAGTTAAAAAATTATGAACATAAAGTTCTATAATTATGAACATAGAGTTCTGTAATTGTGAATATAGAGTTCAATAATTGTGAATATGGAGTTTAAAAATTATGAACATAGAGTTCAATAATTGTGAATATAGAGTTCAATAATTGTGAATATAAAGTTCAATAATTATGAACATAGAGTTCAGTAATTATGAACATAGACTTCCTGACGACAAACGACATTAACGACGAAAGAAATCAATTTTTTTTAATTGATACGGTGTCATTTTCTCCAAAAAGACTCCGTTTTAGAACCATGTCCACTTGCAAGGTGGACACGGTTCCACAACACAATTTGCCACGCCCAACCCTCAACTCCATCGGAAATTAAATACTAATTATTAAAATTTTAAATTAAATTTAACCCGGAATTCAAATTTAAAATTTTTTAAAATAGACTAAAATACCCTAATAAATAGGAAATGAAACATGAAATGAAAAATAAAAATAAAAGTAAAAATTTGCAGCCTCGAACAGCAAAATAGTCTTTGAGGTGAAAAAAAAAAAAAAAAAAAAAAAAAAAAAAAAAAAAAAAGACTACAAAAGGCGTGTGCTTGGAGATCCAAGCTCTAGAGAGAACAGTCTGTCGAAAATTGTTTTTCCCCCACCCATCCCAAACATTTTTAAATATACCGTTAAGTATTTCCAAATATATCATCAAGCACTTTCAAATGTTAAAAATCAATGAAAAGGAAAAAAAAAAAAAAATACATAAGCATTTTTTCCACTATTAGTGGTCCATAATATAATGATTGATAACTTTGCCCACTATTTTTGTGCTGTTTATATAGCTCATTTTACAACACTACTACCCCTGTTGATATCACTTTAAACTCAACTCGCAATTTTAGCTAAAATTTATTTTAATTTTGATTTTAATGTTTGAATCAAACATTTCTAGAGTTAGTGACTATGTATATGTTAAGTTGAGATTTAAAGAGTCAAGTTCAGTAATTTACTATTCTTCTCTCAAAAGGTTGAATCCTCAACCCCTAAGAGTCTCCACACTCCAATCCGACCCGAGTTTAAGTATAGTAATTTACTATTCAAATATAGCATTGGCTGTAATATAAGTGAATATATTATTAGGACTCTATCATCATTAGTATTCGTTACCTATTATTATTAGTATTCGTCTTGTAATAGGTTTACTATTCACTACTATATATACTCTTGTACAGACTCATTATTGATTATTCAGATATATCGTATCCTCATCTGGTATCAGCAGGTTTCTCTCTCCTCTCTCTAATGGCGCACCTCGGATCTGATGACGGCTCTGTTGGTAGTTCTGAACGGACCGTTTCCAAGGCCGCGCTTGTTGCACCGCTGCAGTCGGGGGTGTCTTTCTCTTCGGCGCATCACTTCGTCTCCATCAAGTTGACATCCCGCAATTTTTTGTTTTGGCGTACTCAGCTTCTTCCGTTCCTGGATGGCCAAGGGTTGTTGGGTTTTGTCGATGGTACTTCGGTATGTCCGCCGATCACCGCGCTTGCCGTGTCGCCTGCCGAGGGAGCCGTTCCTGCCGTGCCTTCGTCGGCTTCGTCTTCCGCTGCTCGGAGTGCATGGCTCCGTCAAGATAAGGCTGTGCTCTCCTTATTAATCTCATCCTTGTCCGACGAGATGATGCACCTCGCAATCGGTAAGTCCACTTCTCGGCATTTGTGGTTGGCAATCGAACAGGTTCTTGGTTCGACTACACGGGCTCGTGCCCTCCGGTTGGTGGGCGAGTTGCAAGGACTGCGGCAGGGGGATGCTTCGATCCCGGACTATCTTGGCCGTGCGCAGGTGCTTATCGAGGATTTAGCGCTTGTCGGCCGTCCGGTGACGCTAGAGGATCAGAATATGTATATATTCCGAGGCTTGCGGTCCGAATATCGTCCTTTGGTGGTGTCGCTCACAAGGGGTGCTCCGGTGTCTCTGCCCGAGTTATCCGATTTTCTTGTTTCGCAGGCTTTTATATGTGCCGATGATGCTGGTGATGTTGTTGCTGCTCCGGTCGCCATGGTGGCTCAGCGAGGTGGAGGCCGTTCGGGCGGGCAGCAGCGTGGAGGCGGCAACCGCGGCCGTGGTCGCGGCAAAGGGCGTGGCGGTGCCGGGGCTGTCCAGTGCCAGATCTGCTCCGGCGAGGGCCATTCGGCCGCTTCATGCTTTCCCTGGTACGATGGAGCTCCGGGGCCGAGAGCGCATGTTGCGTATCCTGTGGACGATGCGGTTTCGGTTAGCACTCAGCAATGGTTTCCCGACACTGGTGCGTCGAACCATGCCACCCCAGATCCGTTTTTGATGTCCTCGACCATCTCTTATAACGGTCCGGATCATCTTCGTGTTGGTGACGGTAAGTGTTTACCTATTGTTGGTACTGGTTCGTCTTCGGTAGCCTCTTCTAAAACACTGTTTCGGTTGTCTGATGTTCTTTTTGTTCCTGGGCTTTCTGCGTCTTTATTATCTGTACAACGGTTTGCCCGTGATAATAATGTCTTCTTTGAATTTCACCCTGATTGTTTCGTTGTGAAGGATCGTTCAACCAGGGAAGTTCTGTATAGAGGGCAGGCTTCGGGGGGTCTCTATTCTTGGCCTGTTTCTCGTTCGAGTCCCGCTGCGTTAGTGTCTTCGCGTGTCTCCTCTGACGTTTGGCATGGTCGGTTGGGTCACCCTCATCCTCGTGTCTTGCGGCAGATTTTGAATTCGTGTTCCATTGATTCTAGTTTTAGTAATAGTTCGGTGTCGTGTCGTGCTTGTATGCTTGGGAAATCATCTCGGTTTCCCTTGCCTGGTGTCAATACTACTACGTCGCATGTTTTAGAGCTTATTTATACTGATATTTGGGGCCCAGCGCCTTTTCTTTCTGTCGTCGGTTTTCGTTATTTTGTTTTGTTTGTTGATGACTACACACGCTATGTATGGTTTTATCCTATGCGATTAAAAACTGATGTGTATGCTATCTTCGAGCAGTTTCGGTCACTAGTTGAGCGTTCATATGGTCGTAAGATTGTCTCTATACAATCTGATTTAGGGGGAGAGTATAAACGATTGCACCGTACTTTTGTCTCTTTGGGTATCAATCATAGGCAATCTTATGCCTATACCCATGAGCAGAATGGTAGAGTTGAGCGTCGGCATCGTCACGTTGTAGAAACGGGTCTAGCTCTCTTGGCTCAGGCTTCGGTTCCACAGCGATATTGGGATTATGCCTTTGAGACTGCGGTCTATCTCATCAATAAAATGCCTACTCGAGTTCAAGACAATGTCAGTCCTCATTATCGTTTGCATCATTCTAATCCTTCTTATTCCTTCTTGCGTGTGTTTGGCTGTCTCTGTTATCCTCTGTTACGCCCATTCAATCGTAACAAGTTGCAGTATCGGTCATCCCCGTGTGTGTTTCTTGGTTATCCGTCTTCGTTTCGTGGCTATCGTTGTTTAGATCCTGCTACTAACAAGGTATTCATTTGTTGTCATGTACGGTTTGATGAGACCGTATATCCGTTTGCTTCTTCTATGCCTTCTCAGGTCTCTAGCTCTCGCCCGGTTGAGCCGTGGGGTGTTGGTGCCATTCGGGTTGGTGTTGGCTCCGATGTTTTTCCCACTGGACCTGATCCTCATCCGAAGTTGGACGCGGATTTCGGGGCTGCCGCAGCTGGTTCAGATTCTCGCACCGTGACTGCCACGGCTCCGGAAGGGGCGGTCTCGGGTGCTCCTACTGCGCCCAAGCGAGGCCGCCGTACGGCGAAGCCTGTTCAGCCTCGGTCTCATGTTATAGCAACCCGTTCTCAAGGACCGACGCAGCATGTGGCTCTTATGACTGTTCCTGAACCGACTTGTTATTCTCAGGCAGTTCGGTATCCGGAGTGGCGTGAGGCCATGGATCTTGAGTTTAATGCCTTGCTCCAGAATCACACTTGGCGCCTAGTTAGTCGCACACCTGGCATGAATGTTGTGGGGTGCAAATGGGTGTTCAGAACGAAGCGCAAGGCCAATGGCACGATTGAGCGGCACAAGGCTCGATTGGTCGCAAAGGGTTTCAATCAAGTCGTTGGGCAGGACTTTTTTTAGACTTTCAGTCCTGTTGTCAAACCCACCACCGTGCGGCTTCTTCTCTCTTTAGCCGTTTCTCGCGGTTGGGTCATTCGGCAGTTGGATGTTCACAACGCCTTCCTCAATGGTAATCTTGCAGAGACAGTTTACATGAGACACCGCCCGGTTATGAAGACCAGTCACGGCCAGATGATGTGTGTTTGTTACAGAGGTCACTCTATAGTCTTAAGCAGGCTCCTCGAGCGTGGTTCAATAGGTTGCATGCTTTCTTGGTGTCGGTTGGTTTTTCACCCTCCAAGACTGATGTTTCTTTATTCATCTATACTTGTGACTCTGTCTGTTTATATTTGCTTGTCTATGTTGATGATATCCTTGTTATGGGGTCTGATGCTTCGTGTGTTACTCGGCTTCTTACTGACTTAGCCTCGGAGTTTAAGATTCGTGACATGGGTGCTCCGTCTTTTTTTCTTGACATTGAGACGGTCTCCGAGGATGGTGGTTTGTTTCTTTCTCAGCAGCGATACATGCGAGATATTTTGAGTCGTGCAGGTATGGTGGACTGTAAACCGTTGGCTACTCAGGTTCCTGTGTCCCGACCTTCTTCTGATTCTGTGGTTCCCTATGCGGATCCCACGCAGTATCGCAGTCTTGCTGGGGCTCTACAGTATCTTACTGTTACTCGTCCGGATCTCTCTTTTGCCGTGAATCGGGTCTGTCAGCATATGCACTCTCCAACCACTGAGCATTGGGCTATGCTCAAGCGTGTTCTGCGGTATGTAAAAGGAACTCTGCACTTTGGTCTTTTTATTCGTCCTTCCTCCTCTGTTGCGGTTCATGCCTTTTCGGATTCGGACTGGGCTGGTGATCCAGCTGACAGGAAGTCTACTAGTGGTTTTGCGGTTTTTCTTGGTGGCAATCTGATTTCCTGGTCTTGTCGGAAGCAATGCACGGTTGCTCGTTCGTCTACAGAGGCTGAATACAAGGCTCTGGCTGATGTGTCTGCGGAGGTCACCTGGTTGGTTTCTCTGTTGCACGAGCTTGGAGTGTCATTGGCTGCTCCTCCCACTCTCTGGTGTGATAATTTGGGTGCGACTTATCTCTGTTCCAACCCGGTGTTCCATGCTCGTACGAAGCATGTGGAAATTGATTACCACTTTGTTCGTGACAAAGTGGCGAAGAAGGAGTTGCAGGTTAGCTTCATTTCCACAAAGGATCAGATGGCTGATGTGTTCACTAAAGCTCTCCCTGGTCCGCGTTTCTCTACTCTATGTGGCAAGCTCAATGTCATTGCTAGTCCACCTTGTGCTTGAGGGGGAGTATTAGGACTCTATCATCATTAGTATTCGTTACCTATTATTATTAGTATTCGTCTTGTAATAGGTTTACTATTCACTACTATATATACTCTTGTACAGACTCATTATTGATTATTCAGATATATAGTATCTTCATCTATATTTGTACATTTACTAATAACTATAATTTTTATTGTGATATGGAATTAGAAATAGATATGTGCTTGAAGTGATTGATTCTAATAGCTAAGTATCTTGAGGTCATTGAATATATTTTATATTGTCGGCAAACAGGTTTCTACATTTTTTTCACTGTTTTTATAATTTATTAGTTTTTATATTTTCCTAATCAATGATATTTAAATAATTTCCTCATAATTATTTATGAAGATAAATGATTAAGAATATGAGGCCACCAACAACTCGTACTTTTATCTTCAAGGATTTTAGTTTGTATGCAATCTACACGTACACTGCATGGGACAATAATGCAAAAGTTTAAGCGACCTCACGTTTATTGAAACTATATATGGATTTGAGTGTGCAAGCCATTGTAGCAGCTTTGGCTACGTCTTTTCTACTACTCACCTTTCTCTACAACCTCTTATTTCACAAAGGGACGTCGTGTAGCCAAAACCCACCGGAAGCAGGCGGCGCATGGCCAATAATCGGCCATCTCCACCTCCTCGCTGCCCCTCGAGCCACCTTCAAAATCTTGAGGGACATGGCAGACAAATACGGGCCTATATTTCAAATTAGGCTCTGTGCCCAACAAGTCTTGGGTATGAGGAAGAAGGGATCCGGACAGTAGTGGTGACGGTGAGGAGAATCTTTGAATTGATGGGAGTGACTCTTGTGGGGGATTACCTACCATGGCTAAGATGGTTGGACATAGGAGGACATGAGAAGGCCATGAAGAAGACAGCCAAAGAGATGGACACCATAATGGAAAGTTGGCTACAACAACATAAAAGGAAAAGAAATATTACGAAATCTAAAGAGGAATTAGAAGAAGAAGAAGAAGAAGACTTCATGGATGGATTGCTGTCCAGTTTTGAGGATGACAAAGATAATATTCCTAAAGATTTTGATGCAGACACAATTGTGAAAGCCACTTGCATGGTATGCGACTCCTTTAATTTGTTGTTTCGGTTTGAGTTAATTCTATTTTTAGTCCTACATTTATTCTTCAATTTTTATGGCAGGCTGTGCTATTAGCTGCCACGGATACAACTACAGTAACATTAACCTGGGCAATTTCTTTAGTTTTGAACAATTATAGCGTGTTGGAGAAGATTCGAGTTGAGCTAGATACTCATGTTGGGAGGGAATTGAAAGACATGTTAACAAATCCGACCTAAACAACTTGACTTATCTTCAAGCTGTTGTGAAAGAAACTTTACGTTTATATCCGGCTGGCTGGTCCTCTTTTAGTGCTGCACGAATCTATTGATGATTGCATGGTCAATGGCTACCACATCTCAAATGGTGTACGCATATTGGTGAATGTTTCTGAGATTCATCGAGATCCAAGATTTTGGTTAGATCCCAATATGTTTAGGCTAGAGAGATTCTTGAGTGAACATAAAGATATTGATGTTAAGGGCAATCACTTTGCGTTGATTCCGTTTGGAAGCGAAAGGATAATATGTCCTGGAATTTCTTTAGCGCTTCAAATTTTGGAGTTCGTCTTGGCTAGTCTAATTCATAACTTTAATTTAAATAGGATTCCAAATGAACCTATTGACATGACTAAGAGCGTTGGGCTGACAATTATGAAGAAAACTCCCCTCTATGCTCTTCTTACCCCACGCCTACCTTCACATGCATCTCTACCGTTGAGTAACTTAGTATCAATATATTATTGCATTTACCACTTTTCTTTTGCAATATGCTAGTGATAAGATTATATGAAAATTCCTATCAAGTCGAAATGTAGAGTCTTGGGAGTATGCAAAGGGCTTTCCCCTTGTGGACAAGATTATACCAAAATAACAAAATTGACCCACTAGCTCATTTGTTATCTATATATTTTAAATTGATATGTATAGGCTGTGTATACCTTGTAAACCTTAATGTATTGCAGGATTGGTGTGTGATCATCGTGGTATCTATATGAATACTATTGTAAGTGATAGATCGGATTTAGATTATTCAATTTAAAGATTAAATCAAGAACTAATTCAAAGATTATACAACTATTATACACTGAACAATAGGAAATTTTATTGTTATGAAGAAATGGGATACATAATCCATATTTCTAGGAACAACTAACACACATGTCTATATTAACCAACTCTTACTCTGAATACAACCTTACAATATAGTTAGAACTTAATGTTATTCAGATAAAGATAGATACACTTATTAGAACTCTACATTGTTGGCCGGGAAAATGCAAGTATGTGGTTAAGATTTTACTAATGATTTAGTCTTGGTCCACTATTCACCACAAGTTGAAGAGTGACCAAGATTTGTTAGGTAGTATGTGGTCCTAATCATTTGGCGGGAGTATTATTGAGTTCACGAATACAGACAAATATTGTCCCTTTTTCACTATGAGAATGTTGTGTATATTCCAATTCCTACTCCAGGTGCATGGAGACCCTTGACACGGTTGTTGTGAGCTTGCACATGTAGCTACGAATCACTTCTATGGTAGTGGTTATTTTATCTCACAACATTTTCTTAATTTCACATTATCAACCTAACTTGTCCAACAATATAAAAGCGAATTTTGTGCTGATAAGAGTGAAAATGGTATATCGTAACAATAAGAAGATAGGGCATGCGGCGTTCACATTCCGGAGATGTCCATTTGCACTCCAAGGCCGACCTATCGTTGTAAGCGTCGGGCCGTCGAGGCTGGTGGTCTCCACCTACCAAAATAATTCTGCGAGTTGGATTATACAATCTAGAGCTTCGTTTTAAAAAAAAAAAAAAAAAAAAAAAAAAAAAAAAAAAACAAACTTCATTAAATCATAATAGTGTTGGTACAAATAAAACCTGACAAACAACGAGGTATAGAATCAAAACACTCACGCAACTCGTTGTTTGTACTACAAAGAGCCTGTTTGGCAATAACATGGGCCGACATATTAAACTCATGACGAACAAACAGAAAGGATGCCGATTCCATCTGATTCAGCAGCGCACAGATCTCACCTATCAAGCCACCGAAAGGAGTATAACTTCCACCATTCTTTACCGCTGTTGTGACAACTTGAGCATCAGTATCTAAGATCACTCTTTGCCACCCAATAAACCATCGATACTGCTCATAGCTACGCCTTTCACAATGCCTTCATCATCACGAGCCACCCAACCAAAACCCATTCTCCTATTTTCAAAGTCCATGGCAACATCAATATTGACCTTCAAAAAATGTGGGGGAGGAGGGCACCACTGACCATGCGTAGTCTGCTGATTTCTGTGCGGTCTAGGAGTAATCGCAACAGCGTTTACGGCCTTCCAGGCGTCCACAAAGCTGAACGCATGTTTTATCAAAGGTAAGAGCAACATTATCAGTTGGGAAGAATGTGGGAAAATGTAAGAGTGATTAGGAAAGAGAATGTGAGAAGGGAGAGAAAAAAAAAAAGAAAAAAATAAAAAGGAAAATTGAATTTTAAAAAAATATATATTTTATGATTGTCCGGCACGTCTGACACGCGGGCCCATGCACCGCTGGGCTGGCTTCACTATTGGTGTAAATATTGGTGGGTCTCACCAATTCTGAATTATTCCAATCCTTGCAGGAGAGTTCTTTTTTAATACATTAGCTTTGCTCCTTGTTTGGGAAGAATGCATTCTGAAATAACTTGAAATTATCCATTTTAGTGGATGCTCTAAAAAATACTTGCATTTGTTGTTCCACACCATATCGTTTCGGTTCTCCCATATAGCCCATCAAATCATACAATCTAGAGCTAAATATTATAAATTAATGCTCTTTAATGTGAATGCGTGTGGTTATTTATTTAACTAGTATCTGTCCCGTGCGATGCACGGAAAATATGTTATAAAAATATACTCTATATGAGGTTTATTCATATATAAAATTTTTGTTATTTAATAATTATTATGTGTGAATTCATATGATAAAATTATGAACATAAATATATTTACAATTAAAATAATATTTAAGGTGGGTGATTACTACAAATCTTAAACTATATTAAAAATTTAGTACATAGTATTTAATATTACAAATTTTTAAGAACTTAGTAAACTACAATAGTAATTGAATTACAATTTTAGAGTCACCACGGATCAAAATTTTTAGACCTTTGAGATTTCTAACTCTAGATGTAACAACATACAATTGACCTTTAAAGACCAAAATCACAATCTTAGTTCGAACATTGATTTTTTCTTCCAAATACTATCGAATTAAGTGTGTAATCAATAAAAGATGAGAACTAATAATTCAAGAATATAATCTTAATGTTACTAAGCCACTTCACGTCAATTAAGTTGGAGAGTGTTGTTGGATAGTATCCGATGAATCCACGAATAACGCATCTTTGTCTCCGTAGTCCTCAATATGCACATCAACAATCTTAAATATTAGGCCGCCTAGCTATGCCATATATTAATTTCAAACTTATGAACTTTGGGGTTGCATGCAATAAAAAGTATATTTTAAATATACTAAGGGTACATTATATATGTATGTAAGGTACTTTCAATATAAAAACAATGTATTTTTAATATATTAAAAATGTATTTGATATTCATGATCCATACAATTATGTGGATCATCGTTCACACAATAATTTGCCAGTAGAAATTGAAATATAAATAAATAAATAAATATATATATATATATATATATATATATATATATATATATATATATATAATATATATATATATATATATATATATATATATATATATATTAGAAACTGTCCGTGAAAATTATTATCATTTTTTTTATAAGGAAGAGGGATACCTTACATATACACACTATTTGCCTCAACTAAGGTTCAACCTTACACCTCCCACTTAGGGGAGCAAACCGATACCAATGGACTACAAGCCACTTGGTAATTATTATCATTATTATTATTATTGCAATTATTATTATTATTATTATTATTATTATTATTATTGTTATTATAATTAATAATATTATTATGGTTTTGTGAAAATTAATTGTTGATTATCAACATTTAATTTTCACAATAACAATATTATTATGGTCTTGTGAAAATTAAATATTGACTATCACCATTTAATTTTCACAAGACCATATAGCTTTATATTATATATAGGATAGGATGGGATATACATTACTAATTTCATCTTCCTAAGTTCTATTGGTTGTGCATTGTTACGTTCATGCAGACAACCCTTTGTATAAAATTACAGAATGAGACATACATAAATAAGAGGACATAAATGATTAATCTTTGTTCAAGAATATACTATTTAAACTGGGGTATTATTTTGTTTAAGAATATAGACAAATATTGTCTTGTTAACTCTATTGTCTCATTTTGGACTCTGAGAATGTTGTGTATGTTTGACAAAACACCAGTGGATTGTTTACTCAAGAAAAAAAAAAATCAGGAAACAAATGAAAATATGAATCAATCAAGTAGCATAATTTCATATTGGTCATAAATAAAGCATAAGTCATGGAATTGCAACATGGAATCAAGGGAGGATATTAGCAAGGAATCAGGAAATATATTATGCTATTTACTTTCCTATACAATATATGAGATTATAAATAGGGAGTATGAAATTATAAATACGGAGTCTTCCTTAGTGTTGAGGTAGACAATTGTAATTAGAATAAGGGCTAAGTATAGTTGGGCCAGAACCATTTCTTGTTGGAGGATATTTTATATATCCTTGTTGTTTCCTTTTTCAATTCAATTCTCCATTGTTCCTTCTTCTAAGGCTCTTAATTCTAACAAATTGGTCTGAGTTGTTGTGCAATGACCCAACTCCATTATCTTGCCTTGTTGGTAAGCCGCTTCAATCCACTGACACTCTTGACTCAAGTTTAGGACATCCAACACATAACTGAACATCATTCTAACTTTATACGTTACTGATCTTGAATAAAATAGACATATGGTGAAAGTTTAATTTTAATGATCTTATATTACCTTGCTCAAAATTTAAATATAAAAAAAGTACATGACGGCTAGCACATGATTTATGAGACATGCCCCAAAGCATTGGTATAGAGCGAATGAAAAATATCATTTAAGACTTACTTCTAGCAACAAGGTGCAATCGTTATACTCTGCACCACAGCGCGCGCAGCACTGTGCGTTTCGCGCCTCCCAAAACGGAGTCGTTTTGGGAGGCGCAGAAGGGAGTTGACGTCATTATGTGTATTTGTTTATATTATTATTATGTATATTTGTTTATATAATTATGTCTATTTTTTTATACAGTTATATGTGTTTGTTTATATAATTATGTGTATTTGTTTATACAATTATGTATATTTTTTTATATAATTATATAAAATGACGTCGTTTTGCATCAAAGTGCACAATGCAATACGCATCCTTGTGGACGATATAAATTGCGAACAAGGTGAGGGTTGATCATTGCAAGGTGCTTCGAAGCTAATTAATAATGCCCTTTAATGGATTTTGGCTCCATTTGGGTGTATGGACTACACATACTGTCATGCGGGCCTGTCAGTTTAGCTTCGCTGGCCAAGTCTCTATGCTCTACGCAAATTATGCTGTGGAATCGTGTTCATAATACATTGTGGACACGAATCTAAAACAATGTCGTTTTAAAAAAAAACTCGGGTATTTTAGTTTTTAAAAAAAAAAAAATTGATGTTTCACTGTTAACGGCATTATTT